GTTGAACTTTGGTTGTACATATACCAATAAATCCAAACTGAAATTTACTACTTGCAATTAAAATTGTAAATCTAACTTTCAAGACAAGAATCAGGGAAGTCCTAACAATATTGATTCTTGATTCTTCAGGAACATGGTTTAAACTTCTTTTAAAGATAAATTCAAAAGTGACTTTGATCAGATTACATTGCTTGTGCCTCAGTTTACTATCCTATTTCTTTTATTATGAAATTCCAACATTTGCCAGAGCCAAGTAATTTCAGAGCTTACTACTCTGGAGTAAAACTCACTACCTGTACTTCTATGTTGGAAAATAGATAAATCTGATAGAACATTACTAAGCAATATAAAAAGGTTCATAAATATGCTTGGATACAGACTTGTTAGATGGCATGGAACAACTATTTTCTCCTAGTTACTAATTCTTTTTTTCCTATGCCATTTCCCATGCTGTTCCAGGGTTTGGGGGAATCCTCAGGATAAGTACTGGAGGTGATGCCATCATCCTCTTTGTTCTGCAGAAAATTCCCAATGGATATCTTGATTCCATTTGCAAACGGAGGAAGCTTTCCTATTTGTACATAGGCATTTTTGGAACTAGTCCAATTACCTCTGCCATATTCTATTAAAAATAAAATTAAGCAGGATCAAATTACATAGCATAGATATGAATCTATATGACAATGGGACCTCTCTGCAAATGAAAATACAGCAACAAGCTATGCAGAGTAACTAAAATATAGGTGACAGCAGACCATACTGCTTTTCTATGAGCAGAGGCATGGGCTCCTAATCCATACAAACAGCTTTTTGGAAAGGTGACTATTCCACGATGGTGCACTTATGTCATTTGAAAGTGGTGTTTTTCAAAGAGAAGAATGAAATGAAGCAAATACAAGGTCTTTGTTAATTATCTGTTGCCTCATTTTTAAAGACTCTTATTTACTCTAATAATAGTCTCTGGATGAACTGTTGTCTTCATATACTGACATAGGACATTTTTTAATCCATCTACTTCTAGCGATGTTTTACACGCACAAACACACACGTGCATACACACACACACGTTAGTTGTTGCCCATCTACCAAGTTTAGCTTTCCATTGTTAAATATGAACACGAAGCAGCAATTCAATACACCATACAGCGGGTTCGTGCAATGTCTATATATGGCTTCATTAAGAAAGTTCTTCACCTGCTTATTTCGATTTGCGTTTCTGCTTCCATCTGTTGCCTTAGATTCTCCCTTACTTTCCTTCTCGCTGGGGTGTAGTATCTGTACTGTGAAAGAAAGGATTTCGCATCCGACTTTAAAGTCCTTGGAGTGAACGGCTGCTGACCACTGGTAAAATGTTGGGAATGCTTGTCGAGGAGATCCACACTGCATGCTTTGGAGTCAGGAGTTTGGGCTTTTGAAGAATGTTTGCTTGCTGAAGTGTCAGAAGAACTACAGGAAACTCTAGAATGTAACTTTTGTAGGCTTGAAATGCTGGAGCCTGAGCTTTCAACTGAGAAGTTGGAGATTTTCAGACCAACTTTTTTGTTATTTGTTTCTTTACTTTGAAGGATTGCACTTTGCCTCTCTGGAGTCAATAGGGAGCCCAACCCATACTGCTGTTCACATGGTGTCCTTAAGGGTTCCTTGTCTTCTGGTTCTGATGAAACCTGTGTAGGGGTAGGCTGGAGAGACATAAAAACCACAGGCCATTTGATTGGGCTCTTTTCATGAAAAGCAAACAAAGAATACATACCAAATGAATACTATTCTCCATTTGTTTGCCTCGTAATGAAGTGCTTATAAAAATGCAGATATTGATTGGATTTAGGAACTCTCTGTTTAGGCTAAGACATTTCCTCTGGCCCCAAAAGTGATAAAGACTTTCTACCCCGGGGGCTTTGGACCTGCCAGGTTGATTTTTCTCTTGCTCTGGGATATGGCTCCACTGCCACCAGCTATTTCATTTCATTTTTGCTGAACTAAAACATCAGTGAAAGAAAAAAAAATCATCCAAGCATCCACCATATAGCAGTATAAACCAATGAAATTAATATGACAAGTTGGTTTCTGTTCTATCTCCATAATTGTTTCCATTATTCAAATACATGCTTTTGCAAACAGCACTTGAACAAATATTCTGTTTGTTTTATTTCAGTTTCCATAAAGCTTCTCATTGGTTATGCCCTTTTTTGTCGACCAGTCTGGGTCTACTGTAAGTGTTGTGGACTTTCCTTCCAGACCCGATAAAGGCACAGTCAGACAGAATTGTGTTGAAGTATTCTGAAGTATTGGCAATCAAGGGCCAATAACCTCTTCTGTGATTAAAAAGGCAAAAACGTAGAAAATGGCTTCTCTATCTATCCTGTAGAGGAGGAAGGTCCACTGGGAATGGCAACAGAAAGCTGTACATCATAGCAAGAACATGACAACAGAGCTGAGGACAGGCACAAAGGAAAGGTCAACTAGGGGCAGTTGTAATGGTGGCAGCAGCAGGGGCCAATTGCAAATTCACTGGGGGGGGGGCTCAAAACTTTATCATGTGACCATGAGGGTGTTGCAATGGTAATAAATTTGAGTACTGGTTGCAAGTTCATTTTTCTGTGCTGCTATAACTTCAAATGGTTGCTGAATGAATGGATGTTGAGCAAGGACTATCTGTACAATTACATTTTCCTCTGGCCTAACACAGCCTTGAAAATGGATTTGGAAGATATTTTTCAAAACACAAAAAAACTACTGAAAATATTAAAGAGAAATAAAAATTCAAAACACCCAATAGAAGGGTGTTTTGAATTTTGATTTCTTTTCAATATTTTCAATAGTTTCTTTGTGTTTTTAAAAATATCTTTTGAATCCATTTTCCCCATCAGAAAGGGAAAAGGTTTAAGATTATAAACTGGGTGTACCCTGGGCATTATAAAGACAGCATTGTCTTGCTAAATAAATAACCCAGGCAGCATCTAAAGCAAGATGTAATGCTGCATAGAAATATAGCTGTTAAGTTATTCTTTGAACTATGTAGTGTTATGTGAAGCACTGAGACTGAGATATCATGAGCAAAAGAAATTATAGCCTGAAGACGAAAGAAAAGAAAATGTAACTAAATCTAATATATGCCAATGGTATTCATTATATATTTCCATATTTTCTATCCCTGAAAACCAGTTTTCTAAGCATTCATTTTTTAAGCTGCTGTATTGATATTCTGAAGCACAACCAAAAATTCCATTCAATTGCCAGTTAATAAAACACTGTAAGAGACCACATAAAGATACAAGGAGCACTCTTTAGCAGTTCTTTCGTTTGACATCATTGATTTTTATGTATTCATTTACAACCCAGCATGCCACTGTGGAAAGGCATTACAAAAGTTGGTTGCAGATAAAACTAGTAAGTCAGCAGACTTGAAGCTTTTGACAGACTATGAAATGGAAAAAAGTCATATAAATTCTCCAAAGCAATAAACTGAACAAGGCACATTTTCTATTCCCAGGGATTCTTTCTATTGCTTATAATGTGTATCAGAGTATATACCAGAAGAAAGATATTCATGGAACAATTAACCTTCAACAATACACATGTATATATGTATATATTTCACACAAATTCCCAAAGCAGCGGAGGTGCTATTAAATAACCCTGACAGCACAAAACAAATGGCAAAGCTTTCTAGTTTTGACTTTCTGCTGAAACACTGAAATAAAATCATGATAAATACTGCTGTCTGCACAAATTTATTTATTTATTAATCCAATTTTTATAGCCACCCATCTCACCAAAGGCAACTCTGGGTGATGCCACAAACAGATAAAATCACATAGGAAAACAATAATATAAAATATATAAAAATCACTTTAAAAGATAAATATTATAAAAACAGATAGATGGAGTATGTTTTACTGAAGAATCTTGTAACACCTGTTTAATTTTGATGAATCAGAATATGCCAAGGGCACATTTTTATTGCAAGTTGTTTGCCTATAGATACCTAGAAATTCATGACAGAAATCAAAATACAAACATCAGGATAATTCAATTAAATTTTAATTAATTAGTTTACCATATTACCTCAGCTCAAATAAATGGAGGTTAATATTAAACATTTGGTGAATGTTTGGTGAAAAAGCCAGCGTCAAACCACAAAAGTATTAATCCAGAAAACTGTATTTCTCTATGTATGATTAGGAAATGAGGTAATATTGAGATAACTTAAGACCACAAAATTTCCATAGACTGGATGTTCATAATACTCTATATAATACTCTAAATAATTGTAGCAATTATTTTGTAATATTTTATTCTTTACAATCCATTTCATAGTCTCATTACCCAAAATATCATTAACAGACCTATGAAGATGAAAGTAATCTCTTTCTGTCTTATCTATTTTAACAGCTATCTAATTAAAAATAAAATGCTTTTACTTTTCAAAGATAATACAACACAATGAATGTTTTTGAAAAATAATCCTGCAGTCCACATTTAATTTTCTTATAAGACTCTGCAGCATTAATGTATATATATTTCTATAATTGTAAGTCAAATTATTAACAGGATAACATACTGGAACGAAGAAATGAATTAAAATTCAATGACAAATGATAATAAAAATGGAAAATTTAATAGAAAATCAAATAACAGAATAACTCAAAATTAAATAAAAATCTATAACAAGGGAAAATATAAACGGCTATTATAATAGAAATCGTAACCCTAACCGTGTCACTAACTTAATAACTGCAATGATTCACTTAACTTGTGGCAAGAAAAGTCATAAAATGGGGCAAAACTCACTTAGCAAATGTTTCACTTAGCAACGTTGTGGTCGTAAGTTGAGGACTACCTGTATCACCAAACTGAGAAATAGCCCAGAAAGTATTCAACAGTGCAAATTTTAAAAAAGAAAACAAAAAAATGTCTCTTTCCTATCACACTATGATACTCACAAAGTTTTAAGTACCTTTTAATTAAGAACAAGTTTAATACCACAAGAAAGGAAGATTTTACTTCTCCAAAGGAGTTGAGGAAAGACACACTTGCCCACATCTGTATCACTCAACAAAGAGCTTTTAAAAGTCCTAGTTACCATCAGCCATGAAATACTGGAAGGAATAGAAAGGAAAGGCCACACACACAAAAATCACTTTTCAGAGACCATTTCAAGCTCTGCTATCTATCTCTCTAAATAGCCTGTTTGCTAGGAAACTTACACATCTGAAAGCTGTAACAATCTGTTAAGCAAGCTCCTATACTATGGCCCGCCCCTCCCCCGCCCCAGCATAGAGAGCTGGATACATATCACTTTTTGCCTAATTTCACGGGCAAGGGGTTTAAAAGAATCTGCCTACTTTTTCACAAGACATATAATGTACAGAATTTTTTTAAGGTGGCAGAAATACAGTATTTTCCCTTCTAGAATATTTAAAGACATTCCAGTCCAGCTCCTGATTCAGTCACACTCTTCTCACTTGCTCAAGGCTACAGCCTTCTGCCAAAACAGGATAATACAGAAACTAGTGCTTCAATGGAGGGAGAATGCAACCATTTTCTCCCAATGGCTCATTTTATGCTCAGTTAATAGAACTTCAGAACAGACTCCAGATTTTAAAACAAGAAGCCTCCTCACTGACATCTTTTATCCCTCAGCTGACTCTGACTGACTACAACTGAGAGGAGAATGTAACCTCCCCACTTATTTGTTTAATGAAGTTCCAAGAAGGGGAAATTACCCGTGGGCTGAAATCTATAGAATTAAAGCAGTGTATTCCTCAAAGCAGTATATTCCTCAAAGGCAAGCGTTTCTTTCAACTCTGATATTGACTCTGATTTGGATTCTAGTATCCAAGCAAGCTTATCAGAAAAAAAAAGAATCATCATGCCACCTATTTAGATTTTACTCCAGATTTTATTTCAATTTTAAAAAAGACTGACAACAACATAGCGTTCCCTAACCAATCTACTATATACCCATTGCCACCCTCAGAATTCAATAAAGCTGTTAGTCATGAAATTATAAGAAAGGGGTTATCAAACATTCAGAAGCCGCTAATAGATGATCCAGAAGAGAGTGAACTTTCAACTTCAAGTGCTGCATTACAAAGACAGAAGATACACCATGCTAGTTCCTAAGAGAGCCAGAATCCTCCTCTTGCATTTCCTACATATATGAGGACTGATATTAAGTTACCCCAATTAATTGAAACATGGACAGTTGGTTGCTCAATTGCAGAAATAATAAACTTCATATGTTTCATAGCTATATTCATCATCAGCTTGCTACCTGGCTTTCAACTGATTTGGCACTAAATGGATATACAGCTTACTTCCTAAATGCTGTAGCTGGGAAAGGTACACCTAAAAGTGGTTTAGGTGTATTGATCAGCTTTCCATGGCAAATAGCCAGATATGCACTCTGGCACCAGCCAGTATCTCACAGAGCTTAACATCCTGAATCAGAGAATCAGGAAGAGCCTGGATTTCAGTCCAATGTCATGTTTTCCCTTCAGCACTTCAGCCTGAAAGAAATACCCATTATGTCCCTGAGACTCGGGACAAGTCAAAACTATCCAACATATTCTTACAGTATGTCTTGCCAGTTTTGTATAGAACCTGAAAATGCTTTAATTTTCTTACTTCTGACCAGCAAAACAGGATTCACCCATCAACAAAATTTTCCGACATCAACCATGAAATAACATACAAGATGACCAGGTTTTTGCACAGCAGCATGCAAAATCAGGCAAGGAATGATTAAGAGCAACTGAACCTGCCTGAGAAAGGATAGCCAGAAATGGCTCAGGCTCTGCATGAGTTGCTAGTTACGTTTTAACTTTTTTTATGCTTTGGTATGCACATGTCATGTGAGATATTTTATTGTATCTCAGGTTTGAAAGGGATTTGTAATAGAAGTTTATAATCCGCAAATCCCTTTGGAATAATTTTATTGTTTTATCCATTTTTTTTTATTTTATGTTGCTATTTTAACATTTATATAGACAGGTTTGCTAATTTTAATCTCTTTTCTCTGTGACTCATATGAAGCCTGAGCTATCTTCTTAGCACTTTTTGATTTAATATATATATATTTTTAGCTTAAATTCTTTGTTTGTATGTTAATGGCCACAATAAATTTATTTGAACTTATTTATTTCTCTATATATATCATTACATCATACACCAAGTTTCACAATAGCAGGGTCCTTCAACTCTCCCCTATTGGTTTGACAATAGAGTATGTCCAGATTAGGGATCCTCAATATTGCCATAGCAGAGTTAACTTGTGTCAGTTGCAGTTCTAGAGCAATTGGGCTATTCACAAGAACATCACATACATTAAAAGGAAGAGTTGAGACTGAGCCTAATAATCATATTCTCCATTACCAAGAAGTTTACCACTGAACAGAAGGAGCACAACATGTTAGCTTTTCTATCTGAAATACAACATGATACTACAGGTCAATTATCATATTATAGGAGATAACTGATTAGCTTTTGGAGACAATCAGAACTAGCACAATGTTTGACAGCTATGATTTGAAAGCCATTTTCTGTTTGGTTTGGTGGCATATTCCTTTTAAAATTTTGAAAAAAGTTTCACCAATAGATGCATATTGCAAATCCTGCATTACCATGATAAAATCAGTAGTGAATACAAAGGTTCTTTATTCAACAATCTGAAATGACAAAAGCTTTGATGAATGTCAATAATGGTAACCAAATGAGTCTCAGATGTTTAACTTGACATTTCTCCCTTTTCTTTCAAAATAAAACAAAGCAAAAACAACAGCATACTGTATTACCCATCACCCCCAGTCATGAATAACTTTTCTAAATAGGGTGATTATCTGGGAATCTTATCATTCACTCTGTCAGCTGCCAAGCAGTCATGCAAGAATTGGCCAACTAATGATCCACTTTATATAGCAGCTTGATGCCAAATACGCCGTTATGCATATTTTAAAATGAAAATGAATCCCACCATTTACAGTACTCTCCCCATTTCTGCTATGCAAATAATATTCTAGCTGTCTATCAGAGATCATTCTTCTAACTAGTGTTATTCTATGCAGTGCTAGTCAACAACTATGGTTTATTTGAGCAATTTATTTCCTCCAGTCAATTTCTTTCTCTTTCTACATAACTGGGAAGAGGTACACATACATGAATATAAACAGCTAACTTTCATTTATGATCTAAACTTGTCTTCTCCAACCAAGTTATATTTAGGACCATAATTTTAACATTTAATAATACTGACTGAGAAATTTGGAAGATGGAATTTCAACACATTTTAGAGGAAACAGATGGGAGAAAGGATGAAGTAAATAATATTTACAACACTTAAGACACGAACAAAAGAAAGCTAGAAGTTTCTATATTTCAGATTACAATAAGTAGCAATCATGTGCAGGTAGTTCTCAAATTTTGACTGTTTGTTCAGTGACCATTTCCAAGTTAAGGAGGTGCTGAATGAATGGTACTTATACCTGATCCCTGAAATTATGGCCACTGCAGCGCCTCCACAGTGATACGATAAAAATTCAGATGCTTGGCAGCCCACCTGCATTTACAATAGGAAGAAGGCTTAGACTCCCTCCACTTGCCCATCTCCCCTCCATTTCTCTCTTTTGGCCACCCTGCATAGTGACACTCATCAGCAGCAGTGGTGGTACTGAGGCTAAAATAGACCAGGGAAATGTCTATGGAGATTCTCAGTCATCCAGGTCATGACTGTCCCAAAGATGCTTTTTCGGGACGCAACTGGACTTTCTTGTTTTTCTTTGAAGACGTTTCGCTTCTCATCCAAGAAGCTTCTTCCGCTCTAACTGGATGATGGGGATTATATCCTTCCATTCCCCACCATCCAGTCAGAGCTGAAGAAGCTTCTTGGATGAGAAGCAAAACGTCTTCAAAGAAAAACAAGAAAGTACAGTTGCTTTCTGAAAAAACACCAGAGAAGTTTAGCAGTCTCAGTCGGGTGCCAACACTCCTAGACCTCTACTTCAACCCCAGCATTGCTACTGCAGAGTGCAGCCTCAGGCTCCATGCCAAAGCTCAAAGCCTCTGCTGAACTCTGTTTGCCCTGCCACCCTTGCTGCCTTGTGCTTCATTCACCCTGCTGCACTTGCTACCCTTTAAAGCAGCTGCTGGACATGTCAGGACACCTTCTTGAGGCTGGTCATGATGCTCTCCAAATTGCACAGGCCATTCTCATGATACTGCAGTAAAGTTTCTCAGTCTTTCTAAAGCATTGTGAGAATGGCCCAATGCAAGGCAGTTTGGCACGTCCTGTCAACAGGAGGAGGAAGGCGGTAAAGGTCAGATGACAGCGGTAGAGCTAGCAGGGCCAGCACGTGAAGGATGGCAAGGCACTTAACAGAAATTCTATTCCCAATTACTATTATAACTCAAGGATTACATGTATTTATAGCAAGCATATCTCTAAATGCAGGTAAATTGAAAACAGGTATTGTAGGCTTATTTTGCAAGAATATCACACATGATTTAAAATTTGGTATGTAGGAGATTCGTTATTGATGCTAAACAAAAATGGAAGGACTAAATTTCAGGTTCCTCATTCTGAAGCAGATGAATGGCAAGGAGAAAATCGTATTGAACAAACTCCAACTGCAGTCTGTAAATCCTTTTAATTATCATTCCCCCCTCCAGCAAATGAAAAAGATAGCAGTAGAATTAAATTAAAGTGAAATTAAGAAACGTCTTGTAAAAAGGCATGAACCATGTATAAAAATTTATAGAAAATTTAGACTTTGTTTCCAATTTACAAGTTGATATAGGGAAGTCCAGAACAAATTTAAAACAAGAAAAAGAGAGAAACAGCACTGGAGAATTTTGCCCAATCCTCTTCAGCACAAATTAAAATCATAGAATAAAATTATAGGAATTATAGTTCTATATGGTTTTGCTTATCCTTAAAAGGAAATATTTCTTGATGACTGTAATTTATTTAGTAGAATACTGTTATTCAACAAAATAAAATCGGGAAGGAATCCTCCAGTAATAGTAGTGAATAAGGAATAAAGAGAGTAAATATACCTACTTTCCTGTAGGTGGCAGATAGCAGTCTTCTACTCTCCCTGGAACTAGATCGGGATACCTGTTGAGATAAAATCATCTCTTTCTCACATTTTTCTACCTCTTTCTTCAGTTTCTCTCTTCGTTGCTGATCTGAAACTTAAGAGGATAATATTAACCAGGGTCAAAATACCAGGATTAAAGGGCTTTTTAAAAAAAAATGGATTACTACGTTTGTGCAAAGTTAAAAATGATTTTCAACTAATGCCACTTTTGGTAGCAATAAATATGAGATAATGAGAAACTTGACAATGCCCTGGAATCTGATACATCATCTTATTCTTAAATGCATATATAAAAGGGTCTATATTATGAAAAATCAACATATAATTTTATTGTATTTAATGACCCAAATCCAAAGAACGAGCATCACTTCAAATTTTAATTAAAATTAATAACTCAGAGATTAGTCACAATGAGAATGCCCTACTGATTTTCTATAACAATAATCAAAGGTGTTACAATAAAAATAAGGTAAGATAAGATGATAAGGTAAGGTAAGATCAGATCAGATCATCATACCAAATAAGAAAAGATAAAGATTATTATTGTCTTTGGACAGCCAACTTTGTATGATCTGGCATCAATATGTGGTACATATTTTGGAGAAGGCAGAATTTGTTCTGGTTCATTTCTGTTTTTGTTAATTTACAGTTATTTGCAGCACATTTTTCCAACATTTCTCCAACCTATCCAGACTGTTTTGAATTTTCTTTCTATTTCCTGGGCAATAATCCACTCAGTGTTATAACATATCTACAAATTTAATAAACATGATCTGCTCTACAATTTTCCCAGATAGCAATGTTAGACTGATCAATCTGTCATTTCCTGAATCTTTCAATACCAAAGCTTAAAATAATTTTTATTGCCCCTTATAAACCATGGGGAGAAAATCACATAGTAAAATAAAAAAACAAACAAACAAAAAAGAAAAATACATATTAGAATAGATGTACACACAACAAAAAGCTAAGTTCTTAGATAACAAATGATCAGACAAAATAATATTGATCTTTCCATAACATCAAGCCTCATTGTTCTTTTCTTGAAGAAAAGTACAGTTTTTTCCTCCAGTCATCTGGCATTTTAACCAGGATCTCAATAACAAAGGTTCAGCCAGACTATAATGAATTTCTTCTGTACACTAGGATCCAATTTATCTGCTTGTGAAGATTTAATCTAAAGACGTATTTCCTGAACATGTTTCTTCAATCTCAAGCTTCAATTTTGTCTCTACATCCTAGCCTTCCTATCTTCATAATATTGGAATACCCAATTTTCTTTTTTTTTTAATTAAGACTGAATCAAAATAACAGCTCAGTTTCTATGCCTTTTGTTTGTTACCTTAAAGCATTTTGCCCTCTTTATTAGTCAGCTAGCATAATTCTTTTTCTTTTATTTTGAACACATCTAAAGAAGCACATTTCAAATCAACTTAAAAATTTGAAGATGGGAGGGAGGGAGGGAGAGAAAATGTCACTGCCCAAGTGTGACTAATGGTATATATAGTAATGAATAATAATTCTAATTTACGAATAATAATAAATAATGGTATGAAATACTATTTTCATTATGTCCCTTTATAAATTATTAACAAATCAAATACTTACATTTTATGCTATTTAATCTGCTTTTTGGTAATGAACAGTCTATAGCAGCTGAAAACAAACAACACAATTAAAGTGAATAAAAAAGTTATTTTGCAATAGACTTTATTGGCTATCAATATGTACCTACAAAATGAAACTTTTTGTAAGTGAAGCTTAACAGCTTGTCCATGTGTTTAATATATTTTTATTTTATTAATTGCCTATCTATATAGCTATCTACTTCCCTACTATATTTGTATGCTGCTCATTCCTGAGGCTCCAGATAAGTTTTTTTTTAATCCAAACCCATATAAATAATCCACAAAATACAAATCCCATGTGCATATTATAGAACTCCTTTTCCTGTGCCAACTAGAAGACAAAAATTGTTACAAGTTTCCTGAACCACAGAATGGATGAAATAAACCAAAGTTCCACTGGGAAAGAGAATAGGGACGGCAATGGGAAAACCCACTTCCAAGGCCCTGTCAGATGTCAGTCCCACAAGGAAAGGACCAATAAATAGTTGATCTCAATATAAAATATGATCGGACAAGTAAAAGAATTCCAGAGGAGGAGTTACCGTATATACTCGAGTATAAGCCGAGTTTTTCAGCCCATTTTTGGGGCTGAAAAATGCCCCCCTCGGCTTATACTTGAGTCAGCGTCTTGAAGCAGCTGCTGCTGCCGCCGCCGCCAGGCAAGCCACGGCGGCTCGCCGCTCGCTCCCCCTCCCCTGGCGCT